GAATATCGTACCTATGATGCGCTGACATAGGAGCAGGATAGGTTCCCAGTACTTAGGCGCGACTTCTTATCACTCAAACGGACCGTTTTGACAGATTAGCGGATACGGCGGCTAGGTATTACTTAATAATATTCTTTGTACTGTACAAGAAGCAGTCCAACAAAGGTTTTTTGGGGGTCATTTATCCCTATCAAGCTTTCTCAAGATTCTTTTGCCGTTTTTTTGGAGCAAGTTTTGAAGGTGGTTTTGGTCCTCTTAAAAAAATGCCTATGCGTAGCAATGATGTACCAAAATGTTCCTGAAAGAGAGGAGAATAAGCATGTTTTTATGTATGCTCATTGTTTACAAAATTAGGCTCCCTGGCTTAAGTAAGCATATTTAGATACCATCCTGATGTCGCAGCACCGAGAGAAAGAGAAAGAAAAACACTTTAAAATCATTTTTCAGGTCATCGTGGTACACAAATAAGATTTGTGACCCCCCCCCCCCCTTCCCGAGACAACTGTGCCTCAGATTTTATTCCGTCCAACTGATGTCTGATGCAGTTATCTCGGATGCTGTAATAAAACTTGACAAACCCATATAACAAAACAAATGGAACTCCAGCACTATCCCCTTCTCTTTCTGTTGCCGTGCGCTTGCTTGTATACATACATACAGGGTGATCCAAAAGTCCCTTCCACCCCCTCTAAATTTTTACCTAATTAAGGTAAAGATTTGAAACTTGGGGGATATTCCTAGGTCAAAGGGAGCTACTTTTTGGCCCCCCTAAAATTTTCAGGGGGCCCCCCTTGGGGGGGCAACGGCCCCCAACTTTTAATTTTCAAATGGGAAGACCCCCTTTGTGATAGCTCGTTCGAAAGAGCATAAAAAAAGAAAACTTTTCGCGCAAACCCGAGGTCAATATCTCAAACCATTTCAAAATGGCGGCCGGTTAAAGTTCAAAATGGCCGAAAATTCACACCGGTTACTTATCGATGGATTTGCGCGAAAATCGGTATGTTGGGGTATTTTGACAGGAGAAAAACGAATTTGACGTTAGCTTTTCAAAAAAACCAAAATTTCCAAAGTGGCCGCCGGTTAAGGTTTAAATTGGCCGAAAATTGTCACCTCGGTTTTTTCCTGATGGATTTGCCTAAAACTTGGAATTTGAGAGTATTTTGGCATAAGATAAACAAATCTGAACTTAGATTTCTAAAAAAATCAATTTTTGGTCATTTTGAACTTTAACTGGCGGCCATTTTGGAAATTTTGGTTTTTTTGAAAAGCTAACGTCAAATTCGTTTTTCTCGTGTCAAAATACCCCAACATACCGATTTTCGCGCAAATCCATCGATAAATAACCGGTGTGAATTTTTGGCCATTTTGAACTTTAACCGGCCGCCATTTTGAAACGGTTTGAGATATTGACCTCGGGTTTGCGCGAAAAGTTTTCTTTTTTTATGCTCTTTCGAACGAGCTATCACAAAGGGGGTCTTCCTATTTGAAAATTGAAAGTTGGAGGCCGTTGCCCCCCCAAAGGGGGGCCCCCTGAAAATTTTAGGGGGGCCAAAAAGTAGCTCCCTTTGACCTTGGAATATCCCCCAAGTTTCAAATCTTTACCTTAATTAGGTAAAAATTTAGAGGGGGTGGAAGGGACTTTTGGATCACCCTGTATATTACCTGCATAAGTTAAGCCCTATTTTAAGGCTTTATAGGTAGTACGATTTATTCACAATACTTTTAAAACTGCGCATCGTTGAGATTAAACGAAGACAAGCGGCTGTTTCGTCGGTAACACCGTACTGCGCCGCCGCGCGCGTCCCGGGCAAACAGCGCAGCGCGCGGATCTGCCTCAGAACGGCCGGCTCCCCGTCCCCCGATGGTTTTTCTCGTTTCACGCCTTAAATATCGATCCCACAGAAAAATTCGTAGGCACCATTTTTGTTCCTGATAAAATTTCCTATCGTCCTGCTTAAAAAAAATTACGCTAACATTAGCCGTTCAGTAGTTATTCAAAATTCAAAATTTGGGGGCCCCCCTGCCCCCCCAGGGGGCTCAGATTTTTGGGGTCTATGTCTGAATCGAATGTCTACAGGGTAGAGATGAATCCCTGAAATTTTCATGCTTTCTTCCAGAAGTGCACGATTCTTATGATATTTTCCACTTATCGGCCCCACTATATATGTTAAACTTGCTTCATTTCTCCATTATGCTCGATTTTAAAACTCATACAATCAGTTTCTGATCATAACCTCATTAACATCTTCTGCTTACTTAGGTCATACTTTTTCTTCTCACTCAGGTTGTAAATTGGAGTCAAGCTTTCTTTTTGAGACGACTGTCTTTGGACGTTGTTGCCTATATACCTGCTTCGTTAGGTCTTTATTGCCTAAATGCACTTCCGCTTAGATAGGCTTGGATGTGATTTTGTAGCAAATATTGCAACTTACTTGGCAACAATGCCAACCTAAATTAACGTTCAATCGTTGAACATAATTCAACAATACTTAAATCGTACGATGATTTGGCTATAAAACATATAAAACTGAAATAATTTTAATAGTAGTTTTTCATACCATTTTCGGAAAGGTGGACAGGATAACAGGTTATAATATCATCCATATTCAGGAGTTTCTGAACGAGTTCATACTATGTCATAATTCTCTTCGGTGGGCTTCAGCTGTTCGATTAAGTCCGGCTTGCCCTCTTAATGCTCGTTTGAGATGATAGAATTTCTCAATTGTTGGAAAATGGCTTGAAGCTCTGCCATACTCTTCATATTCCCCAGAAAAGCCTCTAGAGTTTTTAATTTGGTTTTTTGATCGTTGTTGGAAGTATCATTCTTCATATTTTTGTCAGTTTCTTCTCTCTTTTCTTCCATTAGTGTCTTTGCTTTTGTCCTCGTTTCATAGAATATTGTTTCAAATTCGCTGTACTCATTTGGATTTACATCTGGTTCGATCATTTGAAGTTCAATATTTGTTTCGGAAAATTGGGTAAAGATCTGCTTGGCTTCCTCATAACGAATGTTTAAGTTCGTCATGCTACTTAACGTTTTCTTGTGCTACGAAGGTCTCAAGGCCCGACAGCTGATAGTTAAGATGAAGTTTTGTTGCCAAAAGACTGGCCTTTTTCGCTTTTTGCATTGTTAGGCAGAATTACTGTCTGATATTTCCAAATTGAATCGTGGAAATCGGACGATTACTGCACGATTTTTAATATCAGAGGTATGTGGAGATCAATCGATCACTGCACATGCTAGGTATTGACACGGAGATCGAGCGATCACAGCATGTCTCAACCACAATATGATCATTTTTTTTTTTCCATTCGGCCGTATAGTCCACTTTTGTGAAAACTTTTAATTTTCTTTGACGTCTTCTAAATTGCGCAGATGAAAATCACGTTGGGGTCACCATGTTTCTCTTAGTTCTTAATAAGAAAAATATATAATTACGTAGTAATTATAAATAAATACCAAAACAATTCTTGGTAGATGTCAAAGACTGACTGAAAACTTGTATTACCCTCTTATGAGAAAATATACATTCTTTCAGCTGACACTGACATTGTTGTCAGATGAACAGTTCAACAGACCAGTACACCCCAGTTGGTCAAAAGGACAAGCCTCAAACGAAAGCTTATGGTAAGGCAAACTTCCAGGAAAAGTTTCAACTTGAAGTGAAACCTCGTTTAGGCTGTACTGCGTTGCCAATTTTCCATTTTTATGTGATATATTTAAGGAATTCTGGATCACCATGGTTCAACAGACTAGTACACCCGATTTGATCAACGGAACAAGGCTTAAATGAAAGCTTACGATGAGGAAAACTTCTAGGAAAAGTTTCGACTTGAAGTGAAACCTCGTTTAGGCTGTACAGCGTTGCCAATGTTCCATTTTTATGCACTATACTCAAGGAATACTGGAAGATCATGGTTCAACAGGCTAGTACACCCAAGTTGGTCATCGGGACAAGGCTCAAACGAAAGCTTATGGTGAGGAAAACTTCCAGGAAAAGTTTCGACTTGAAGTGAAACCTCGTTTAGGCTGTACAGCGTTGCCAATTTTCCATTTTCATGAGGTAATATCGAGGAATTCTGGATCATCATGGTTCAATAGACTAGTACACCCGAGTTGGTCAACAGGACAAGCCTCAAAAGAAAGCTTATGGTAAGGCAAACTTCCAGGAAAAGTTTCAACTTGAAGTGAAACCTCGTTTAGGTTGTACTGCGTTGCCAATTTTCCATTTTTATGTGCTATATTCAGGGAATTCTGGATCACCATGGTTCAACAGACTAGTACACCCGATTTGGTCAACGGGATCAGGCTCAAACGAATCAAGAACAAGAGTAGTAATAATACTCTTATGAAACATGAAAAAATGTCACTAAAAGGATCCTGCAAACCTCTAACATTGATGTGTGCCATGATCGATTTCTAATTTTTTTAATGCATTAAACTTGTCTGTTGATGCTGATCAAAAATGATCAGTGCTTTGACTTTCTCTGAGCTACTGTTTTCGCACAATCTGCGAAAGTTTCGTTGATTCCCTGAATAAGAGGAGGCAGTACAGCGATCACGAGTCAACAAGACCCCCTTTTTTTCAAAACTCAATAAAAACAAGGAAAAACTTAGTCGGTGAGAGGTAAGGGGGAGAGTGGGAGCGATAGAAACTGATTTGGATCGTCAAGCAAAAAGGCGTGCAGAATACGAGATAAGATGGCCTAGGGTTTTCCTGATTTCCTTGTTGGCACACAACCGACCATACCCCAGTGCTGAAATGAGGGATCTCTTTGACTCTACATCTCCGCACTGACTCCTTTCATTCAAAGAATTTGCGAAACTCTCGTGAATTGTGCGAAAACAGTCGCTCGTAGGAAGTTGGTGCAAGGAGGACTTTTGATCAGCATCCATTGACAAGTTTCATGCGATAAAAAAATGGAAAATCGATCATGGCACACAACTCTATGAGTGGTTTGCAGTGTCCTTTAGAAATAAGGAGATGTAAAATACTTACATGGCCGCTCATCAAGACTTGCTGCATCTTGATAAACAGCACAGAATTGAAAATTGGACAGCCAATGAACATTGACAACCGAGGCATTATGTATTAGTGGTGGAGCTTCAACTGACCGAACAGCTTTCAGATCTGGTTTATACTGAGTCAATTTACCATCTGATGATCCGATGACGATTTGCTTCCCTTTCGGACTCCAACACAGACATCTGAGCAAATTATGCAAATCAGTTAGCAGACTTTCAACATATGTATAATTGTGCGACTGCAAGGTCATGCATCTCTTTCTGCAATGTTGCAAATTTTTTGTCACATTCCACTCCTTTTAAAGACAGTTGTTGAACTGATCATTGGTACCGAAAAAAATTTAGTATGATATCTCTTTGTTTCTTTCAAAATATTCTCTGAAAGTTTCTTGCAAAAATGTCCGTTGGTATTCTTTAAAAAAAATGGAAGGATCTGAAAGAGGTTGTTCCAAAAACGCCGATTTTGGCCCAAACTTTGCTCAGATGTTGTACTAAGTGTCTCCGATGCTTAGACATAATTTCAGCCCCCCCGGATAATTAGATGGGAGGGGGCAGGGGGGCAAAGTTGCAATTTTTTAAAAACTTTAAAAATTGATATCTCGCGAACGGTTTGAGTGTAAGTGTTGCGGTTTGCGCTAAGAAACGTTAAGAAATATTCTCTACAAGAATATTAATGTTGCTTGCACGTTTGTGTAATTAATCGTAGTCATAAATCGATTTTTTCGATTTTGCAGGTTCGACTTTTTTTCGTTTTCCGTCTCTCCTCTCCAGGCGATCGTTGCTACGTGAATAAAAACCTGTTGGGGTGATTCTTCATAAAATTCTTCATCTACCACACTTTGTTTGACCTTGGGGAAACGATTCGTTATTGATTTATAGCGATTTCTCTGCGCGTTCCCGGTTACGCGCGGGCGGCATGTCAGCGGCGCTCCATCCCATGCGGGCGAGGCAGAGGTTGTTTCACCACTGTAGGGCCTTATATTCATGTTGTAGGCTGTAATTATCGATATTTTCTCCTCCTCTTACCCTTCCCCTCCAATAAGTAATTTTTTATACTTCGTTATACAGGGTGTCCCAGACCGCCCGTACCAGGTCTTTTTCTCGGTTGGTATAGGTAGTACGAAGTGGGGGACCGTGGGGTCGACTTGGGAATTGACCCCAAAGAATCCGAGTATTACGGTCCGGTAACCCCCTATGCCCCCTTGGGGAGTAAAGAGGAGGTCACGATCCCAAAAGTCGGGAGAAACTTTGACTCCCCCTTTTACCCCCCAAGGGAGGCTAGGGGGGTTTCGGGACCATGAAAATCGGATCCTTCGGGGTTGATTACCTGGGAAATCATCTTTTTCCGGATAATCTACGTCAATTTTTGACCTAAGGGAAATCATGGAGGGGGCCGCTGTCCCCGTCTTTAAGAGATCATTTTTGGGAGTTAAGTGGTCCAATTTTGGATTCTTAGGAGTCAATTTCACGTGACATTTTTCGTCCTTTCCAATTTTAATGCAATCAAATCGCAATTCTATCGGAGACCCCGACTTTTGGGATCGTGACCCCCTCTTTACTCCCCAAGGGAGCATGGGGGTTACCGGACCATAAAATTCGGATTCTTCGGGGTCAATGGGCCTGTTGCAAACTTTTGCTAGAGCAAAACTAAGAGTTGTTTCCTGCAGATAATGCCTCAAAAATCACGATGAGCGCATCGGCAAAGTCTGAAATGCACTCATAACTTCACAATCTGCGTAAGATATTTGCGGTTTTTTAAGCTTCCCGCTTCGAAAACGATACTACGGTACAGGTGAACATTTTGTTAGAGGAGTCGTTCCATTGGCAACAATACTCATCATGGCCGACGCCAGTCCGCCAAAACACGTGTGATGGGACGAGATAACACCTGAACAGGATTAAACCATATAACAATCGGCGTGTTTACGCTCATATTTTCCTCGCCCGCCTTAATTGACCTTGAACTCTCCTCGAATTACGCGAGGAACTGCGCAAGCGTCCGCCATGATGCATATTGCCGACGATGGAGCGACTCCTCTAACAAAATGTTCACCTGTGCAGTAGGATCGTTTTTGAAGCAGGAAGCTCAAAATAACGCAAATTTCTTACGCAGATTGTGAATTTATGAGTGCATTTCAGACTTTGCCGATGCGCTCATCGTGATTTTTGAGGCATTATCTATAGGAAACAACTCTTCATTCTGCTCTAGCAAAAGTTTGCAACAGGCCCATTCCCAAATCGACCCCACGGTCCCCCACTTCGTACTACCTATACCAACCGAGAAAAAGACCTGGTACGGGCGGTCTGGGACACCCTGTATAACGAAGTATAAAAAATTATTTATTGGAGGGGAAGGGTAAGAGGAGGAGAAAATATCGATAATTACAGCCTACAACATGAATATAAGGCCCTACAGTGGTGAAACAACCTCTGCCTCGCCCGCGCGGGATGGAGCACCGCTGATATGCCGCCCGCGCGTAACCGGGAACGCGCAGAGAAATCGCTATAAATCAATAACGAATCGTTTCCTCAAGGTCAAACGAAGTGTGGTAGATGAAGAATTTTATGAAGAATTACCCCAACAGGTTGTTATTCACGTAGCAACAATCGCCTGGAGAGGAGAGACGGAAAACGAAAAAAAGTCGAACCTGCAAAATCGAAAAAATCGATTTATGACTACGATTAATTACGCAACCGTGCAAGCAACATTAATATTCTTGTAGAGAATATTTTTAAACGTTTCTTAGCGTAAACGCAACACTTACACTCAAACCGTTCGCGAGATATCAATTTTTAAAGTTTTTAAAAAATTGCAACTTTGCCCCCCTGCCCCCTCCCATCTAATTATCCGGGGGGGCTGAAATTATGTCTAAGCATCGGAGACACTTAGTACAACATCTGAGCAAAGTTTGGGCCAAATCGGGGGGGGGGGGGGCAAAATCGGCGTTTTTGGAACAACCTCTTTGGAACCATAGCAATCAAGATCCATGTTAGAATATTTACAGCATCAATTTTTCAGTAGGTATACAAATAGAAAATAAGTACTGAACGTGAAAAGAGAACGCACTACAGGATAACATTTTTGAAACATTATTCATCTCAACTAATGATCTTGCTTGGTCTCATTCCACTTTATTTGTTATTGAATTTTCTTTCTTTCTAGTAGGCATAAACGAAGACAACCTCACTCCCTGACATTTTCAACTGATCTGATTTTGTTGCGGAGGGGACCGACAGTAACCAGAGAGTATTATGCAACACAAACGTTTAGACCAGAGTAAATGTCTAATGATGGAATTTTTATTTCATGAAAGTTAAATGTAGTTTTGTCTATCAAGGACGTCAAACCGCCAATTTAGACTCATGAAATGGGCTGAAGTACAATTCGTGCGCTCATGATAATAGTTCACCGCGCAGAACAAGAATCAAACATAAAGAGGAAACCTACGTTGCAAGAATTGTTGGTGGCAAGGATGTGAAACCGAAAGAACAGCCTTTGAGCTCAAAAAGGCTCACAGAACCATCAGAATTGACGAAGGAAATTAGACTGGAAATAGATGGATTCCAATGAAGATCCCGCACGACAACATCAGGAGTCTCAGTCAAACGTAGCTGGTACTTTATCACAACATTCTAGAGGGGAGACACAAAGACAAATATTTTCAATTCATTAGGAAGCTTTTATTGGGTTCGCCAGTGCAAACTCTCCACTTACTAAAGACGCTAAGTATACTTAAATCAAAAGCAGGATGACAGCAAAAATATAGCATTGGCTTCCCCTAGCTGTTCCAAGTTTTCCCCCTAACAACTCCTTGAGTTTTGAAGCAATGCTGAATGTTAATAATAACGTAAAAATTATCTGATTCACCTAGGCCATCAGCTGAGACTGCACCGAGGTAGTTACGTAAATAGGTACTTGAGGTGGGTCACTTGATTTTAAACTATTCGTCTACAAATTTGGAGGTACAAAACTATTCAGACAAAATATTAACGATTGAAAAATAACGACAAACATTAAAATGATTCCATGAGTTCCCATGTGATTGAACCAGCGTTACAGTTGATTTTCTCAGTGAGCCAATTTCATAAATATAGAGCATTTTTTTGAGGAGCGTAACAAAGATCTCTGATGATTCTCATCAGACTTTTAGCACTGCTTCTTAAAACGTCATATGTAACTTTTCTCAAAAATCAGTTTCCCAAGAGAAAGGATTTTCCAAAAAACTACAAGCTAGGAAAATGTAGGTAATACTTTCCGTTTCAGCAGCCAAAAATACATGAAAATACACCTACAGCATTCATGCGAACTAATCCTCCTTTTCCTTGTAGAAAATATGAGTGAGTTAAGCCACAAAATTGGCTTATTAACCCAATCTAAATCTAATCCATTCGTTTGGCATCCAAAGGAAAGGATGCAAATTTTACTCCATGGGTTTTAATGAGGTAAACCTGCGTACTTCTGGCTGCAAAAGCCGAAAATGACCTTCGCTTTTTCTATCGTAAAGTGTTTTTTGAGAAATCAAAGTTCCTCACAGAAAAACTTTTATTTCAAATCATGCTTAATGATAGGAGAAAAATTTAATATCCTACTAAAAACAAACTCGAACGGCCAATTCTGGAAACCGGCCACTCGGGTTAAAAGAGGCAACCGAGGTAAACCCTTATCATGATGAGTAATCCAATTTTTGGCATTTTTGGCGCTTCAGGACGAATTTTCTCGAAAATTTGGCAACTTAGGGAAAAGTTACAAAGTACATTATATATGTATTCTCTTACGTTCTTTCCGAAAATGTACACGGTTTTTAGATTAAATTAAGTTTCACACACGTAAACTTGAAAGAACCCCTAAAAATTGGTGAAAATTGGCAACAATGGACCGTTAGGCCTTTTAAAATTCACGGGAAGCCATTTATAAGGCCAGATATGAAAAGTACGTAGAAAAATACATTTAGTACATACCTATGGAGGGTGACTAAGGTCGAAAAACTTTCAAAACAGATACCTTCAAGTAAAAAAAGGCTGCTAAAATTGAATTCCCGGTCAATTTTCACAGTGTGGGAATCCAGGTATAACTATAATTTTTTGATATGTTGTATATATAGGTAAGAGCTCTTACGTAGGTCAATGTAAAAGTTGTACCCCACTTTCTTGAACCTTGAGCGTGGCAATTTATCGAATTCATGCCATTTTTGGCTGTTTGGGACGATTTTTATCGAAAATTTGGCGACGTAGAAAAAGTTGTACAAAACATTATTTATTCATTTTTTTGCGTTCTTTTAAAAAACGTACACGGTTCTTGGTTTGCATAGAATTCTGCGTGTGTAAAAGAGAAAAAACCCCTAAAAATGGGCCAAAAATGGCAACAATGGGCCATAAGGCCCCTTAAAATTGATCGGAGGCCTCTAAAAAGGCCAGAAACGGAAAGTACGCAAAAAAATACGTGGGAATCAACTGCTGGAAGAGTGATAACAGTCAAAAAGTCGACGAAAATAACTATTTTTCGATGCCAAGATTCTGGGTTTGGGGCGTTGTTGCACCTTTGCATGGGCTCCGTTCGGTGAAATATTTGGCATAAAGTCTACCTAGGATTTGTACTTTGAAAATATGAAACATTCAGCAAAATCCAGGTGGGGCCGGAAATGGCCCATAACGACACTCCTCTTTTATGCGGGTTTTCCAAGTTGGGAACCAACCAAGTATTGGTTGGGTAGTTTACGATAATAATCATGATTGGTCCATAAGCCACTGGATACGTGTCAAACGGTCAACTGCACATACGTTTACAGGCGCCGTGAGTTGGCTCACGAAAATGCGTGTTTTCCTATTGCTCCCAGGCTTTTTTGACACCGAGCGCATTGTCTAACGAAAACGAGCTTTTAATATGTTATCAGGGAGGCTTTAGGACACATTTTAACCCTGGTTTGGTTTTAGTTGGAGAAAGCACTCCAACTTGAAAAAAATTGGCCTCCGGCCAATTTATGCGCGGCGCAAGCGCCGCGTACCGGCGCCTCGCGCCAGCATGTGGGGGGGGCTTCGCCCTGATTATGGTGCGAGAATCGCACAACACTTTCCCGCTTTTGCCGGCGCGAAGCGCCGGCATAGACACTTTTACTGGAATATTTAGAAATATACTGCCAATTTTACAAAATCATAAAGTTTGATTGGAATTTTGATCGCAGGATAATAGTTATGAAATTTTTATTCAAACCACTGAACTTCATTGTAAATGTCTTCGCGATATGTGATGAATTCATATATTCGGACTCGACTTATTGATTTTATGAGGCATCTTCAATTAAATATGTAATTGATTAACAAAGTCTCCAGTCAAAGACGGCGATCCGTAAAAATCTTAGCTTTTCTACGATTCATTAGGATCCATTACATTCATTGACATCATACTTCATTTACGATTTTATATTATAATCTCTCCTTAAGCACGGTCAAAAGCCATCAAATATCTACTTTAATGGGTAGAATGACTATTCGATGTTTAAATAGTCTTAAAACTGAACGGTTTTTGCTTAGCATCTCCCAAATTTTAAATTTGGCGGGCGAATCTACCTGCTGGGAGGTTCACCACACGCCCGCCAAAAGCGCCATCTCCTTACCGCGTATCCCCGTAATTCAAAGCGAAAACAATAGAGAGCGTCATCTCCTTGCTGCTGTCTACAAACGTCAACAAACCTCGGGTTATAACAATTATAACCTCCTTTATTAACAAGCATTAAATCAGTCATATTTGTGCCGTATTATTATATTACATTTGTGCTTAGTACCTCGTAAAAAGGAATCGCGAAAGATGGAATCTGCCGGGATTCTAAATTCATTAACAACAAACATATTAGTTTTTAATAAAGATCTAAGTGTCAGTTCTTGCGTTAGCTTGATGATTCATAGTACCTATGTAATGTAAGTAAGTACCTAATTAGCTGTCTAATTTTGCTTGGTGTATACCTACGGAGTAATTTTGGAAATAGTATATGATGCATTATATAATGCATTTGAATTCCTAGGTTTCACCTGACTCAAAGCGTTTGCTGCTATTACCTAGAAGCGTTCCAACTCATTTATCAGAGAATTGAGCGTTTCCCATCGGCCCCTCTGCAATTATGAGATTAGTCAAAGAATCCTTTAGGAACTTAAATTAATGACTCAGATGGTGCTTTTGAGCCAACTTTCAAAGAATTAAAGGCATTTTTTCAAAATCTACAGTCCATGAGCTCTCCGTGTGACCGAAGTGCTCTCCTCGCTAAATGACACGTAACCCTTCAATTTTTAGTTTAGTCCAAAGACCTCATAGGAACTTACATTATTGAACCAGGTGGTGCTCTTATGCCAACTTTCGAAGAAATGAAAGGCATTTTTTTTCAAATTTACAGTCTTTGAAAATGAGTTGTTTACGTATGTGATGTCGCGGAGCAAAGTGCCCTACTTTTGGGCCTCGTAATCCCTTGAATTTTGAGTTTAGTCCAAAGATCTTTTGGGAACTTAAATGAATGACCCAGGTGATGCCCTTGATGCCCACTTTTAAAGAATTAAAGGCATTTTTCAAAATTTAAAGTCCCTCAAAATGAGCTTTCCGTGTGATTTTGCTGAAAATGGACCTTTAACCCAATTTGACCCTAGCCCCCCCCCCAATTTTAGCGTACCCCAAAATCGTTTGACGTGCATAAGGAGACTATAAATATGGTGTTCTGTGAGAATTTTGAATGAAATCGAACAGATAGATTCTGAGATATCGCTGTAGACAGATTTGGGGGACGGCGGACGGACGGACACACATTTTTTCAAGTATGGTTATTTTGACTCCTGGGACCTTAAAACGTCTAGAAATGATGAAATTTCAACTTTTTTTTCTTTTTTTCTTGGAGGATGACAAAACTTCCTCTCTACCCTAGGGGAGCGAGAAAGTAAAAACTTTTTCAAAAGTCCACTTTTAAGGGACATTCGCAAAAATCTTAGGGAATTACGTCGTTAGGGTTTTTTTTTGGCTACAATTAAAGAAAACCTCCTTAAAAGAGTTTAACAAGGCTTGATAACTGCCCTCGATAATATACGTAGCGTGCATACAGTTGGAGAGATGTGTTTCCCTAAGATTTTGGCGGATGTCCTTTGAAAGTCGACTTATGAAAAAGTTTCTTTTTAACTATGAGCGTGTCATCTAACTAGAACCAAACCAGGGTTAAAATGTGTCCTACAGCCTCCTTGATAACATATTAAAAGCTCGTTTTAGTTAGAGGATGTGCTCGGTGTCAAAAAATCCTCGGAGTGATAGAAAAACACGCATTTTTTGCTAAAATGTGCCTGCAGATGTATGTTCAGGCGACCACCTAACACCTATCCAGTGGCCTGTGGACCAAATCATGATTATTTCCATAAACTACATTGAGTCAACTTGGAAAACCCACATAAATGTCCAGATTCTAGGGGGAGCCAAAAAAAACTCTTATAGATACCCCTCCTTTTATCTTCAAGGCGCATTAAATATTGGAATTTTTACTGGTTTTTGGGTCATAATTTTTGTTGCTATGATGATGCCACGCGGAAATTTTGAATAAAAGCTCTCAAGGACTTGATGCACCTGCCATAATTTCGTCAGAATTTTAAAACGGTGGTTTTTTGTTGTATGTTACCTTGGAGTACATTGTAAATTTTTTCAAATGGCACCAGAACGTGTCTTCTAGGACAAATATGGGCGGAGATGTAGGCCTCCAAAGTTTGTCATCTTCCTTGAAAACTGGCAATTTCCAGAAAATTCCATTCCCCATAAAATTTGAACCAATAGTCCAAAAAATTTAAAATTGATGGCTTTTTGTTAAGTTCGTTGCAGGAAGTGATCGAAATCTGAGGGGATCAGGTTAAAAAATTTCTGTTTGGGGTCTGATTTGGCATGGAATGACCCTGATAAAATGTTTTCAGCTACGTACAATGACTCACTCAGACCAAGCGTGGCAGTTGATCTCTATTTCTACTCCTGTTACTTTATTTTCTTTTTTTGTAATAAAAAAATAGCAGAAGTCTAAGCACCTGTGTTGTAAGAGACGGCAAATCGTAAATAGTAGCTAGGGCGCCAACAGTTCCATCTACAACGACAACTAGGAGGGATTCGTCAGCATTCACAGATATGAAAGAGGGTTTAAATGGAAGGTCGACATTCCGATGCTCGTACTCCTTCTGTTCAGTGGGACCTGAGACTTGCAGTGAGGACAAAGCAATAACTGAAAAAAATTAAATACCTATCTTATCAATAGTTCTATTTACAAAATTCACAATCCTTAGAAATTCGCACAATTCTCGGGCATAAAAAATGTTGTCAAAAATTACCCGGATATTTAAGATTGAGGTCATGTAAGTGGATACTTACAAAGGTAAATACCTGGGATTATATCAGGACCCCAGAGAGAGAAGATACCTAAGTGACATTTTAAAAAGAATCCAGTTATTAGCATTTTTGACATATTCAGTCAGAGTTTCATGTGTGTAAAAATTTTAGTGGCAGTATCTAATGGCAATGACAAGACAGCAAATTTTAAAAGGTCCCTAACTCCATTTTTGTCTCCAGCAAATAGGGACCTAAACGCCACAAGAGAACGCTGCGCAGTAGAAGGGAGGGAATAACCTCATATTCGCATCAGAGGAGAGACAAGCATGGAGTGAAGAAGCTTTCTGTGTGTTTAAGGGTTTCTCTTAAATTATACAGAGTGTCTCAGAGGTCCTCACCTATCTCTAAATTTTTACCTAATGTAGGTAAAAACTCAAAACTCAAGGAATGTTCCTCGGTTGAAGGAAGCTACTTTTTGGCCCTCCTAAAGTTTTCAGGGAGGAGCGGGGTCCCTTGGGAGACTCCAACTGTTTATTTGTATGAGAGGACACCCCTTGTGATGTCTCCTTCTGAGGAGCATGAAAAAAGGACAATTTTTTGCACAAAACTTTAGTCATAATTTCAAACTCATTGTGGGTTCATTATCATGTGTCATGATTTAATACTTAAGGAGCCATTTAAGTATTACGTAAGACATTTCGATCGACTTTTTGATGCCTCTCTCTCCCTTAGAGCCACCCCTTAAACGACCTCTCCACACCCTTTGAAATTACATTTGCCAAGCTTGACCCTCCCCCCCCCCAAAAAAAAACTTGTTAATGATGATGAAAACATGATGTTTTCCTAGAGTAAAATTTCATCATCTGCAAATTAGGTTACTCAGAATTTTTCATGCTATTGGACAATACCCGTGTAAAATGTGGTTTTTGGAACGAAATCGGGGTTTAAACTTAAAAATCACCATTACATCATTTAATTTAACTTTGAAAGGATTAAGTTAAACCAAAATTTTGGCAAAAAATTATTTATACTAAGTGGCATTGATTGCTACCAGGGGAAAGTAACAACGTTCAAACTTTTATTTTGTTGACGGACCATAGGGTTACAGCTGTGGAAACTCTGTCCCCCTAAGACAGTGCAACAGAGCACCTCAAGCAGAATGCAATCATAAAAGCCAATCAGGCCCAGTTTTTCATGTCTCCTGTTTTCAAGGGCCTCACATTAAATTATTACTTGGGTTGCTGTTTGTTCCACAACCTCAAAGAAAGAAAATTGGTTCAGCCTCTGAGGCCCCATATGGGCACTTTTTGGGGCAGCCACGCCCTGCAAAATGGACTACCTCCACTTGAAAATTTAAAAATATCTTGTCTCTTTCAGTACACCATACTCAGAGATAGTTTTCATTTCATCTTTAATTTCAAGGGATGCAGCTACAGGGGTGCAGAAAATGTTAGACTTTTTGTGAAAAGGCTCCAAGTTTGTGGAAAGACCAAAAAAAATAGGAGAGGAGGTAAAAGTTTTCAGAGTTATGTTCCAAGTTTTCGTATCAGTCCGCATGGAGATTTGCGATACTAGCGCTTTGCAGCCGTCAACCTAAACAACGCAATTCGCAAGAAATTTCGAACTATTCCTGGAAAGGGGAGCATTAGTCCACTGATTCTGATTGATCAAGTCTCGTCTCTTGCTTCAACTACTGATGAATTTATCGTTTCAAAATCGGGATCAAACTTGAAGATTTCCCTGCTTTCTACAGGATTATCCAAAGGTCACTGACCACCCCTGTGACTTTTTTCCAAATTGAGATAGAAGTTTGAAACTTTGGGAATGTTCCTCGTTCTAAGGTAGCAACTTTTTGGGCCCCCCAAAATTTGGGGGGCGGGGGCTAACTTTTTTTTTTTCAAATGGCAACCCCCCCTTTGTGATACCTCATTCGAAAGATAATAAAAAAAGAAAATTTTTGGCGCAAACCACAGGCCGAAATGTTCAATTTGACAAAATGGCGGCCGGTCAAAGTTCAAAATGGCGGAAATTTGGCATCTCCGTTGTTTATTGACGGATTGGTGTGAAACTCGGAATCCTAGGGTTTTTCGGGATGAGAAAAACGATTCTGGCATTGGTTTTCCAGAAAAGTCTGTCCTTTTCAAAATGGCGGCGGTCAAAATGGCGGCCTCGAGCGGGAAGTGGATATTTAGGCTGCATATCGTTGGATTTGCATGAAACTTGGTATCTAGGGGTATTTCGGCACGAGAAGAACGAATCTTTCATTGGATATCTGAAATTTTGACAAATTCCAAAATGGCGGGAAATCAGTGTTACGGCTGTTTACTGATGGATTAGCATGAAATTATTTGATATTTCAAGAATCTAATTAAAGATTCCTTTATAACCAGCCAAAAACCGCTAGGATATCGAATTTCATGAATATCCATCTGTAAAGAGCCGTAAAACTGATTTCCCGCCATTTTGGAATTTGTCAAAATTTCAGATATCCAATGAAAGATTCGTTCTTCTCGTGCCGAAATACCCCCAGATACCAAGTTTCATGCAAATCCAACGATATGCAGCCTAAATATCCACTTCCCGCTCGAGGCCGCCATTTTGACCGCCGCCATTTTGAAAAGGACAGACTTTTCTGGAAAACCAATGCCAGAATCGTTTTTCTCATCCCGAAAAACCCTAGGATTCCGAGTTTCACACCAATCCGTCAATAAACAACGGAGATGCCAAATTTCCGCCATTTTGAACTTTGACCGGCCGCCATTTTGTCAAAAATGAACATTTCGACTTGTGGTTTGCGCCAAAAATTTTCTTTTTTTATTATCTTTCGAATGAGGTATCACAAAGGGGGGGTTGCCATTTGAAAAAAAAAAGTTGGCCCCGCCCCCCAAATTTTGGGGGGACCAAAAAGTTGCTACCTTAGACCGAGGAACATTCCCAAAGTTTCAAACTTCTATCTCAATTCGGAAAAAAGTTACAGGGGTGGTCAGTGACTTTTGGATAACCCTGTATGTATATGCATGGCAAGCTTTCCACTTTTTAAGACCTTTCCACGTTTTCTCTAGCTCTTGGAAAGTCAATGAAAAATTGAGGATGATGCAAAATTTGGAGGGCCTAGGAGAAGTGTACTACTTTCAGCATCCGTTCACAACTTGCGCTTTCTTCACGCCTCTTCCATGTATTTAGTAGCTTTGATCAATTTCAACCTGAAATTATGGGAAACCTGTCCAAATTTCCTCCTTCTGGATGAAATTCAAATAAAAGCTGTGAAAAGATGATGCATAATGAGGAAGGACCTAAAAAATGTCCTATTTTAATCATCCTTCCACAATTTGCGCTTTTAACACGTCTCTTCCACGTTTTTAGTAGTTTTTTCACTTTTCCAAGATTTTTCAACCAATTTCTAGTTTTTTGTTCTTTTATATATAGGTATGTGGTTTTTACACGTTTCATCAATTTCTAGTTTGTAAGTCTTAATCAAGTGAATCGGCCATTCTTATTATTAATATCAAGTCATGTCTTCATGCCTCATCATTTTACCATACTTCGTCAGATTAATCATTTCACTATACGCAAATAATGTGATACAGTTATATAAGGAAGCACTCTATACATGTGAATAAAGCACTGCAAGAGTTGTGCGCTCATTCAATTCACATGTTAGATGCACATGCATTTGTCCCGTTGAGACATGATAAGCCGGCTGCCGGGCACGTGAGAATGTGGAAGCTTAGAAGATTCTGCACCCCTGTGCAGCTAATCAATCACTGGAATAGGAGTTTTCAATTCTTTATCTATTTCAGGGGTTTTTGACATGCCATACTGCACTCTGCTGAACGTTTTTAAAAACATTGGCAATACGACCTTAACATTGCTGACCAGACTGAGAGAGAGTGCTTTAATTATGAGGAACTGCTTAGGTTAGTCGCGGTATGGAGTATTTGAAATAAAAAGAATTCCTATTTATGAATGAGAATAAGATTATTAGGCAAGAGGATTTATTGGAAAGCAACAAGCAAGTATGGGGTGATTGTTGCTTTTAAATATCATGAAACTCTAGGGCAAAATATCCAAAGGATGTGTATAATTCAAAATTCCCAGTTTTCTTCTTAGAATCACATCAGGTGGCTGATGAGTATTTGCAGATTTTGATACAATACTCCAGGGATGTCCTTACAAAATATTTCATTCGGCAATAAATATCCCGCAGTATCTCTCTGTTACCTGAGTAGAGGACCAGCGCCTTGAGTGACGAGGAAGTGACACAGTTACAGTGCACAGTAGTCACGTCAGTAGAGGGAAGTCATATCAAATGCATTGCAGACCATGGATGAGCACTACTGCTCAATTGGCAGCAACATAATCACATAGGGGAGGAGGACAAACCTGCTACCTGTTTGCAATGGTAGGTTGTGCTGTGCTACCACTGAGCTAACAAAGTAACTCATGTGTTCTATGGCGTAAATACGATGCAATGGTACTTCCCTCAGCAGTTGAAAGGAATAAAAATCAAAAGATTCAGATACATCCATGAATGGGGGTGTTGCACCAGACAATTACCTTAATCATGAGCAATTTTTCACGAGAAAACTGTTGGTGTGCTTAAAAACACTCTCAAGTTCGATATTAAAGTTGCAAAAGCTAAATAAAAGTCAAAAGGAAAGACGGAAAGTTCAAACGGAGGCCTCTCATTGGTGACACTGGTCAGTCTACATGGGACGCGATTTTATTTAACAGGAGAGTTGAAGTTTCCAACTTTTTTTTAAAAAAAAGTTCTTGAAACTGTGAAAATCAAACATTTTCTGAAGCCACCGATGAAAAGAATATCTTTTTCACACACTTTAAGGTTTAGTTTGACAGTGAAACGAGTTTAATGGTCAGAAAACCGTGTTTAGTTGT